TAGTGAATAATTGTATTATTAATAACATTTATAACTTAATGAAAAGGTTAGGACTGGAGCGATAGCACAGCGGTAGGGTGTTTGCCTTGCTTGCGGCCGACTTGGCCGACCCGGGTTTGATTCCTCCGCCCCTCTTGGATTGCCCGGCAAGCTATGAGAGAATCTCTCCCGCACGGCAAAGCCTGGCAAGCTCTCCATGGCGCATTCGGTATGCCAAACACAGTAACAACAAAGTCTCACAATGGAGACGATGAACAATAGGAGGACAGTGCTACAGTGCTAATGAAAAGGTTTTCTTGGGGCCACTCTGGGAGGGCGCATAAGCCCCTCTGGCTGTGTTCAGAGAAATGATACGGTCCTGGGCATCAAACCCGGGCTCCTGCATGCCAGCCATGACCCATTTGAGCCATCTCGTTGTCCCTATAAAATATTTAAAAATGTTTTAAATTCAGTTTCATTTGAACCTCACAAGAACCCGGTATTGTTATTATGATTATTATTTGCTTAATTATTTTTTTTGGGGGGGAAGCAAGGTTTGGGATACACTTGCCATGCTCGGGGCTTACTCCTGACTCAGGACTCACTTCCGGAGGCTCTCCAGGGTTATTTGGGCAGGGCTCAGCTGGGTACAGAGCAAAGAGCAAGCCCTGAGCACTGGTGTGGTCTCTCTAAGAAGCCCCCCTCCCCTCCACATGGTGCATATACATTAGAATGCAGGTGCATGCTCACATGCATCTAGACAGACTTTTGATTTCCCCCTCCCCTTTCCTTGGTTGCCGTCACTATCACGTTGTCACCTGCTTGCTCGTGGCGCTCTCAGGAGCGGTCTTCACTCACCCGTGCTCTCGCACCTTCTGCTCTTACTGTTCTCACGCAGTGCTCGCCGGGCCAGCCCCGGTCTGCAGCGTTGGCATGGTTTTGCTTGTGGAGCCCACACTCACACTAACTCTGCACTGGACATCACATACTCTGGACAGAGGAGCTGCCCGGGCAGTACTTGGCACGAGTGGCCTCACACGGAGAAGGCAGGTGCTGTTAACCATCCCAGCTATCAGCAGGCCTCTCGAAGAGACATCTACATATTCAAGCTGGGATTTGGAGTGACTGGGGAGTTATTTGAGAGACAAACAGAAGGGAAAAGGAGTTGCCTAATGGTGCAGAAACTAGTGCTTTCATCAGTGGGATTATGTATTGGTGCACTCTTTTTTATTGTTTCTTCAAACTGAGTTTTGGAAAATATAATTTTTGTGTGTTTTTGTTTTGGGGCTACACCCAGCCATGCTAATGGCTTACTCCTGGGTCTCCACCCAGGAATCACGCCTGGCAGAGCTCTTGGGACCATATGGGATGCCGGGGATCAGTCCTGTGTCAGTTGGGCGTAAGGCAGGCACCGTACTGCTGTAGTCTCGCTCCAGCCTTTGAAAATGCTTTTTACTTCTAAAAGTATGTTCTAAAGGTTTCCAAGTCTTAGGGATATAAACGTTTAAAAGATGATAGTATTCCTTGTCTAAAAATTAGCAGTCATTTCAATGTTCATTAGTAGCATAAATCTTTTTAAAACAGTCAGAATTGGGCCAGAGTGATAGTACAGTATTTAAGGCATTTGCTCTGTCAGGGGCTGACCTGGCTTTGATCCCGATCCCAGGACCACATATGATCTCCCCCCAAGCACAGCCAGGAGTGAACAGTTGGGGGTAAGCCCTGAGCACGACTCACTGTGGACCAACACCAGCAAGTTCTTCCCCGTTCCCCCAGCCCTGAAACATGTACAGTCATCTCTTTTTTTGGTTTTGTTTTCTTTGTGGGCCGTACCTCGCAGTGCTCCGGGGTTACTCTTGGCTCTGCACTCGGGACTTACTCCTCGCTCAGGGGACCATATGGGATGTCGGAGGATTGACCTCAGCTATCCCTTAATTGAAGTAATTCTTCATAATAGAAAAATTAGAAAACTGATGAACAAAACTGAAAGTTCACAGCTTAATCTTATCCTCTAGTGCACACATGTTTGATATGTTTATAAATATTTGTATCCTTTTGTAAATTCTAGCTCAGAAACTTTTTAATATATTGTGACTATCTTGCCATAGCGGGCTGGAGCAATAGCATAGCGGTAGGGCGTTTGCCTTGCACGTGGCTGACTTGGCCGACCCGCGTTCGATTTCCTCCACCCCTCTCAGAGAGCCCGGCAAGCTACCGAGAGGATCTCGCCTGCATGGCAGAGCCTGGCAAGCTACTCTTGACGTATTCAGTATGCCAAACACAGTAATAAGTGTCACAATGGAAGCGTTACTGGGCCTGCTCAAGCAAATCGATGAACAATGGGAGTGACAGAGACAGATCTTACCATAGAAATAATAATTTTTCTTTCTTTTTTTCTTGTAGGCCACACCCAGTGGTGTTCTGGTCTTACTCCTGGCTCTGTGCTCAGGAATGAGTCCTGGCAGTGCTCAGGGTCTTATAGGGGGTGCTGGGGATTGAACCTGGATCCACCACATGCAAGGCAAACAAACGTACTGCCCACTGTACTATCACTCTGGTCCTGTTATTTTTAAAGGTAAAGGTAAAGGCCCTCCCGTTGATCATCGATTTGCTCGAGCGGGCCCAGTAACGTCTCCATTGGAGACTTTGTTGTTACTGTGTCTGGCATATTGAATACTCTCGGTAGTTTGCCGGGCTCTCCGAGAGGGGCGGAGGAATCGAACTCAGGTCGGCCATGTTGGCTGCGTGCAAGGCAAACGCCCTACCACTGTGCTATCACTCCAGCCCCCTGTTATTTTTATTTCTTAAAATTGTTTACTTTGATAACAAAATAGGAGACTAACACCCAAGAATGGCCGAGATTAGTACCAGGAATTTTGCTCCATGGCTTGGAGGCCAGCCACACATGCTAGGGGAAAAGGGAGCTCAGATAGAGAAGGAAGCACCAAATAAAGGGTGTTGGGAGGATCCTCCCAGGATGGGAGAAGTATGCGAAAGTAGACTATAGACCAAACATGATTGCCGAGTCACTCATTGCCTCTTTTGCAAACCACAACACCCAAAAGGAGAGAGAGAGAACAAAAGGGAATCCCCTGCCACAGAGGCAGGGTGGGATGGGGGGGATGGGGGGTGGGAGGGATACTGGGATCTGTGGTGGTGGGAAATGGGCACTGGTGGAGGGATGGGTATTTGATCATTGTATAATTGAAACCCAAGCACAAAACTTTGTAAGTCTACAACTGTGCCTCATGGTGTCTCACTAATAAAAATTAAAAAAATTTGTTTACTTTGGGCCTCCCAAATAAACTTTTGGGCTCAGGAGGTTTGAGGGGCACCCCTGTAGTTCTTAGCCAACCCGGCAGGTGGTTCAGTTTAGGGCCCTCTGATGCCCATGATACCTGCAGGCCTCAGTGTTACAGCCTCCTGGATTGTACCCAGTGATGTTCGTGGCATCACGTGGTGCCAGGAATTGAGCCTTAACTGCTGTCTCCTGGTCCTTGATGTGTATTGGATGGGGGTGGATGCCATATGCAGTGGTGCTCAGAGCTGATTCCTGGCTCTGTGTTTAGAGATCACTCCTGGCAGGGCTTGGGGATCATACTGGGTGTCGGGTATCAGTCTTGGGTCAACCTTGTGTCTTGATAAGGTCAAGATAAGCACCTTACCTGCTGTACTATCTCTTCAGTTCCTGATCCTTGATTTTTTTAAAAATGAAAATAAGCCCAGAGTAATATAGCTAGTATGTTTGTCAAGAAGTGATTGAACCCAAGGAGCTTGCCCTTAAGATATATCCTGGTCTATTTTTCTTGATCCTCAGCTAGAAGATTTGCAAACTGCAGTTATCAGTTTACTAGCTTAGAAAATTCAGTATATTTAAATATCATCTCTCCTGTTGCATAATTAATATACTTTCCAAAGTTTTCATTATTTTCAAATTTAGGTCTAAATATAATTCATCTGTGACACTGATTCAATTAAATTTTATTTTATCTGTGCTGGAAATGGTTTTTATACATGCTGAGGAAGATGCAGTCGCACAGAACAAGTGCTGCCATTATTATGATCTTTACAGTTAGGGATCAGAAATATGTATGCGGATAGAGGCGTTTTCTAATTGTAGGGGTCAGAGTAGTATAGTGGGTAGGGCACTTGCCTTGTATACTGCCCACCCAAGTTCGACCCCTGGCACCCGATATGTGCCCTGAGATTTGGTAGGAGTGATCCGTAAGTGCAGAGCCAGGAGTAAGCCCTGAGCACTGCTAGTTTTATCCACTAAGCAAAACAAGTGTATATTAGGAAAAAAAAAGTTTTTGTTTCCCAGCACCCTCTATGGTCCCTTGAGCCCGCCAGGCATAATTCTTGAATCTGGAGCCAGGAGTAACTAACCCCTGAGCATTGCCAGTTGTGACCCAAAAACCAAACCAAACCTAAACAAACGAACAAAAAAAAAAATTAGCTTTGTTCTCATATTACCTAAAATCTTCTCAAGTGCTAGTGGCATGTAGACCAAACAGATATACTTTCCCTGTAGCAATAGGAGGATAGCTGCCCTGTGGGCTGGCAGTCTCTCAGAGCATCAGGGAGATAACTGTGGCTTCCTGTCAGCAGAGGGGAGGTAGTTTACCTTGCACACTGCCAATCCAGGTTTGATCCCCGGTACCCCATCTGATCCACTGAGCATTGCCAGAAGTGATCCCTGAGTGCAAAGCCAGGAATAAGCTCTGAGCATCACTGGGAATGGCCTCCAAACAAACAAAAACAAAATAAAATAAAACACAATAACATTTATTTAACCTCCTACTTTATTTTTTGGGCAGTGCCAGGTCATTACACAAGCAAGACAAGTTGTCTAGTATTGCGCCACACCCCAGTTGCCTCTTTTAATTTTTTCGCACATAAAAGTAGAAATAATAGCTCCCTTGAAAATGTTTTCAGTGATTGCTGGAACATTCTTATAGGCTTGAGAATAAATGAGCTTTTAAATTTTTCCATATCACTTACTTTTTCTTTTTCTTTTTCAGAATTTTATAGAAGCGAAGTGATTAAGAATTCCTTGGTAAGTTTGTTATTTGTCAGGGGCAGGGTCATATGACTAAACCTATAACTTCTGTTTTAGAAAATGCTGAGATGTAAGTTGAAGTTCACTTCTGGCATTTTGATATTTGTTTAAATCTTCTACTCAGTTGTTTCTTGAATCTTATTTGCTCACTGTGGTATTGCCAGTGCTTAGAGCAAGCCTGGCAGTTTGTAGGCAATTGATATTTCCCAAGTGAACTAATATTTCTGTTAAGCATTATTGCTTATTCCACTCAAATTCTATATTTGGATCACTTTTATTTATGAGATTTTTGTTTGTTTGTTTGTTTGTTTTGGGTCATCCCTAGCAGTGCTCAGGGGTTACTCCTGACTCTGCAGGAATCACTTCTGGCAGTGCTTGGGATGCAGGGGTTCGAATCTGGGTTGGCTGCATGCTAGGCAGATGCTTTACCTGTTGTACGATTGCTTTGGCCCATATTTATGAGATTTTTGACTACTTGACTTAAGTAATAAATGACAAGTGACAGTTATTTTAGTAAAGTTTTATTTGTGGTTTTGGTGGCACACCTGGCAGTGCTCGAGGGTTACTCCTGGCTCTGCATTCAGGAATTCCTCCTGGCGGTGCATGGGGACCCTGTGGGATGCCTGGGATTGAACCTGGGTCCGTCCCATGCAAGGCAAATGCCCTACCCGCTGTACTATTGCTCTGGGATTACTCCTGGCTCTGCACTCCTGTTGGGTCTCTGGGAACCTTATGGAATGCCAGGGATCGAACCCAGGTTGGCTGCAAGTGCCTTGGATGCTGTACTATCGCTCCAACCCTAGATAAAATTTCAAAGAAGTGAGTATTTAGGCTCATTGTTTTGGACCTTCCACTTGTTTTTGGTGATGGCAGCGGTCAGGAAAGGATTGGGGCTGAGGGTCTGACTCTGGTAGGTGTGTGTCTGAGGCCCTGGGCTCAATCCCTAGCACGCAGAATAACTCACTACAATTTCCTTTTCAGGAAGGTATTAAACAAACAAACAAACAAACAAACAAAAAACCTCTAAAATGTCACTATGGCCCAGATAGGTTCCTTGACCTCTGATAATAACCTTGATGAGTTACTAGTATCTTGCCTGCTAAATAGTAGCTAAAAATTAGTTTCTTTTCTTTTTTGGTGGGGTGGGGGGGGGCACACCTGGTGATGCTCAGAGGTCACTCCTGGCTCTGCACTCAGGAATTACTTGGTGCTTGGGGGATTATATGGGGTGCCAGGGAGTGAACCTGGGTTGGCTGTGTATAAGGCAAGGATCTTCTCAGCCCCTTCTTATCCTTTCTTGCTCAAGAAGAAACTGAAGTCGTCTGAGGACAAGTGAGGTTTAATCTAAGGTCAAGTCAGACTTCGCTGTGAGGGTGATCAGCGAGCAGGTAGAGTAGACCATTGCCTGGCTTTTATTTCACCCCCTATTCTGTAGCCAGAATTTTAGTGGAGGTGGTTTATGTCTAATTGCCTTTTCTGGATTTATAATGTACCCCATACTAATAGTGATGTTAGTTTTTTTTTTTTTTTTTTTTTCTTTTTGGGTCACACCCGGCGATGCTCAGGGGTTACTCCTGGCTCATGCACTCAGGAATCGCTCCTGGCGGTGCTCGGGGGACCATATGGGATGCTGGGAATCGAACCCGGATTGGCCACATGCAAGGCAAACGCCCTACCCGCTGTGCTATCGCTCCAGCCCCACAATATGTTAGTTATTATTCTACACTATTAGTTTGTATTTGGTTGATTTTATTTGAGTTCTAAGCCTTTATTTTCAAAATCATCTCTCTGAATACTGATTCCTAATACCGAAGATAATTCCTTTTGGTGCTGTTTTCAATTACTTCTGAACGTGTCTGGGAGATTATTTATAGTTCAGAAGCAATTTTAGATTTCCCAGTCTGTTTTTGCTGCCAACTTAGATTCTGAACTTTGTTCTCAGACCAGAACAGTTTGATTGAGTCACTTCAATGTCAAGGGAAACAAGAAAGTAAACCCCGTCCCCCCACCCCCAACAAAATCACACAACATTTTTTTTTTCTTTTTGGGTCACACCCGGCGATGCTCAGGGGTCACTCCTGGCTCATGCACTCAGGAATCACTCCTGGCGGTGCTCGGGGGACCATATGGGATGCTGGGAATCGAACCTGGGTCGGCCATGTTGGCTGCGTGCAAGGCAAACGCCCTACCCGCTGTGCTATCGCTCCAGCCCCAACACAACATTTTTAAACAATAAAATTTTTTTTAAAAAAATTGAAAGAAATGAAAAATTTGAAGGAGTCTTTTTCCTGAAAGGCTAGCTAATAGATAAGTAGTTCTTCGGTACCTGTGCTGTGCCCTTCTTCTACCACTGAGTGCTCTAGTGCCACCAGTGAATTTGTCCCTGACCACCTGACTGTTGAGCACTAGAAGTGCAGTCAGGTCCATTGAGGGTTTTATTCATTCGATTTAATTTGATTTGATTTTATGGGGGAGTTTTGGAGCACACCAGCAGTACTTACGACCTTTCTGGCTCTGTATTCATCAGTGATCCCTGGAAATCATATGTGTTACCAGGCATCCAACTGGCGTCAGCTGTATTCATGGCAAGTGCCCTACTCCCTGGAATCTTTCATATGTCTCTCCAGTCTGGGATGCAGTTTTAATTTAAACAAAAAGTTTTTTTTTTTTTTTGGTATGTGTGTTAGGTGTTGAACCGAGGCCTTGTATCTACATAGCGTATATACCCTACCACTTAGTTATATCCCTGGTCCTGATTCTGTTTAATTTATTTAATTTTAACTTAAATCACTATTGTGTGGTTAGTAGGTATCGTATTGTAGAGCACAGTTCTAGATACTTCTGAATGTTTTTTTTTAAAACTATAACATTAGCAAGAAACAATTTCCCTTTTTGTGTACTTATTAAAAAAATCTATCCAGTTTTGCTAGTGCCATCCTAAATCAACACACTAGCTGTTTGGCTGTTTGCATTGTTGTCTTAGCTCTAATACTCACGATAAAACTTGTAAAGGTAAGATCATTATTTGCTTTGTCTTTGTAACCTCCATCAGAATTATAATTTCGCTTGGTTTATACTTGAGTAAGCAAGAGAAAAAAAAATCATGAATATAACCTACTCCAAGTTATTTCTAAGACTCAGAATTATTTTAAGTTCTTAAAGAGAAAACATTTCTAATTAAAGTCTTGGCCTTGGCAGTAGTCCTGAGTGACTTGTAACTCGATCTTACTAGTCTCTACTTACTTTGAAAATTTTTTCTTCCTTTTTTTGGGGAGTGACATACCCCGTAGTGCTCAGGGCTTACTGCTGGCTGCGCTCAGAGATCACTTCTGACCAGGAGGTGCTCTTGGGACCACGTGGGGTGCTGGGGATTGAACCCTGGATGGCAAGGCAGGGCAGACGCCTTACCCGTTTTACTATCTCTCTGGCCCTTACTTTGAAATTTCTTCCACCCATTCCAGGATTTTATTTAGCAGTCTCTCCTTCCTTCAGGGACATTGCTTGACCTGTGATTGGAATCTTTTGAATGTATTTCATCATCAGTGGTCTCAGTTTGTGGAAATTTCATAAATTTTGTAAAGGAGATGAATCAGTTTACTTCTTCATTACCAGATAATTTCTTTCTTATTACCAGTTCATGCCTCTTTACTGTTTTTTTTTTCCTTTTGTGCCTTTCTGCCTGCACTCAATAGTTTTCATTGAAGTTGAGCATTTATACAGAAGAGTTTACAGATCTCAAATATACATTTGATGGGTTTTTCTAAAAATGAATGCCCAAGTAACCAGCGTTCTACATTCTATTCTTGATATAACTATCTATATTAAATTGTAGGATATTTTTAGCACCCCAAAGTCCCCTTAGGTCCTCTTCAGTTAAACTACGCTCCTGGCTATTAACACCATACCATTTAGGCAGATTTTGAGCTTTATGTGCTCTTTGTGTCTTTACTTCCTGTTCTATTTTATTGAACCATTCCTACTGTGAATCTTGTAAATTGTCTTCTCTCCAATATTCCACAGCTTAAATATGCCAGAAGCTCTTTCTTTCTTAGTCTGTTACTGTTACAGGCCCCTGAGCACTGCCTCAGAGACCAGCTGGCCACCCACGCAGGACTTGTCTGTGTGAATATGACGGTTTAGTCTGGGGTCCAGTTGTGTCGGTTTAGTCTGGGGTCCAGTTGTGTCGGGAGCCATCAGGGCTATAAGTGGTGGTGCTTGGGGCGGGAAGCATGTGGCTGTGGGCCTAGTGCCTACAAGACATCTTCTCTGATCCCTCGAGCTCTCCGCAGCACCTGTTCCTTCTTCTGTTGATGGACATTTGGCCAGTTTCTCGTTTTGCTCTAGGGGTGCTAAGAACATTCTTACATGTATCCTTAGTGGAACAATTGTATGTATTTCTGTTGAGTATATATTTAGAAATGGACTGGCTGGGAATATCCCTGTGATGAGCTTCGGTGTGTGTTGCCAAGCAGCTTTTCCAAAATGATTGTTTCCTGTGCAGTCTTACTGGCCGACTGGCAGAGTCCTACATTATCATAAACATTTGGCATTTTGGTTATATATATATATTATGTGTATATTTCTTTGGCTGTAAATTAAGGAAAATATTTTATATGGCAATTTACTCTTGGCACTTACAGTGCCAACAGCGTGCCTAACTTGGAAGCTTGGTGTTAAGAACAGCTGTTAAGGGTGCCCGGGTAGCATTGACACGTGATGACTGCCGCCTGGTGGTCAGAGATGGTAGGACAGCGTGAGTTGAGCATTTCTAAAGTCAGCTCATTTTACAGTCTTAGAATGTGAAGAAAAGTGCATGTTAGAATTAATAGTAAATTGGAATCTGTTAGATGGTAATAAGTGTGTCACTGTATCACTGTCATCCCGTTGTTCGCCGATTTACTCGAGCGGGCGCCAATAACGTCTTTATTCGTCCCATCCCTGAGATTTTAGCAGCCTCTTCTTACTAGTGTTTCCCAACGATTGGAGGCTCTTTCAGG